GTGGTAGCACCTCTTGTGCTAGAGGCTGCTTTATATGACTGGGCACAACCCACAGCAGAGAATTTGGACACATCGATATTAGTCCCGCAAATACAGGCCGAATCTTTTCAAATAATGAACAACATGTTGCACTTGTTGCAGAATAAGGGACTATTTTCGGGGTCATACATTGAAGATCCTCAATAGCACTTGAACAATTTCCTGTCAATATTCAAAACTCAAAGACAGTCCAACGCAACTCAGGAAGCAATAAAGTTGTTGTTGTTTCCATTCTCGGTGACAGGAGCTGCCTAGACTTGGCTAAACTCACTCCCCATTAACTTCATCATGACTTGGGAGGAGTTAGTCAAGCAATTTGTGAATAAGTTTCATCTATCCAATAAGACTGCTCAGCAAATTGATGAAATTTTGAGCTTCAAATAGAAATCAATGGAAACACTGCAAGAAACATGGGAATGATTCAAAGGAATGTTGGTTATATGTCCGCACCATGCTATTCCAGAGTAGATGTTGGGGCAGTGATTTTATATGGGTCTGATAGATGGTGTGAAGGCTAATGTTGATGCTTTAGCTGGTGAAGCATTTTTGAGTAAAACATGAAGAGAAAGCCAGAGCCTGCTTGACAAGATGGCACAGAATTCGGGGTGGACAACCAGGAATGCACCTATCACTCTAGTAGTTCACTCAGTGCCCTTAGATCCATCCAACACTCTTGCTGAAAATATGGCCACATTAATGACACAGATGAGTATACTCACCAAAAAGGTGAAGAGTCAGGACAGAAGTAGCAGGTACACTTTGTTGACACTACCAATGGGGGATTATGCACATCTTGCATTAGTCAGCCAATTGGTAACCAATGGAATGCAGAAAGTGATCATCATCATTACCCTGAGGACATGAATTATGTGTCTAATTATGGGGGCCAGAGACAGGGTGGTCAGAATTGGGACTAACAGAATCAGCCATACAGGCCAGTCCAGCCACAGTTCAACAATGGAAATATGGGAGGTATGCGACCTCACAATAATATGGCGCCATACCAACGGCCACAGGGATATAACAATCAAAATTAGCAGCAGGATTTTCATCCTCCTCAGCAGCAACATAGTGGGAGACAGGAAGATGGGTTTGCTAGACTCGAGGCAATGATGCAACAGGTTATTGGGTCAAATGCAAAAATGAGTGAAAGGATAGATGCACATGAGTCACCTATAAAGAATATTGAAGTGCAGATGGGCCAAATTTTGATGTCTTTGAATAATCATCCTCATGGGACATTGCCTGCAGACACGCAGGTAAATCCAAAAGATCAAGGCCCGAAGCAGCTGATGGCAGTAAGTCTATGAAATATAGAGACTTAGACTTGGAGAAAGAGAGGGCTCGAGAAAGCAGATAGGCTGAGACACTTGTACCAGTGCCCATTGAGCTAGATGATTCAACGAAACTGATAGAGGTAACAGTACAGCCTGCCCAGGAAGAACCCAACACATAGATTGAGGCTGAGAAAGAAGCTGAGGCAGCCCAGGAACCGGTAGTTGAGGTGGTGTCTGACAAAGAGAAAACCCAAATAATTGGGAAGAAGAAACCTCTAGCACCATTCCCACATAGGCTGGCCAAATACCAGAAAGAGGAACAATACAAGAAATTTTTAGAGATGCTGAAACAAATCCAGGTAAATATTCCATTGATTGATGTTTTGAAGGAGATGCCTGGTTATGCAAAAATGATGAAGGACTTGATGTCCTGAAAATTTGATTTCCAAGACTTGGCCACAGTGACTCTAACTCAGACCTGCAGTACCGTGGTGACTAGACCAGTTGCTGAGAAGTTGTCTGACCCAGGGAGTTTCACAATTCCCTGCACCATTGATAACTTTGCTTTTGCCAAGGCACTTTGTGATTTGGGGGCTAGCATAAATCTTATGCCCCTGGTGATCTATAAGAGGTTGGGGAATGGAAGAGCTAGACCCACATCTATGTTGTTTCAGCTAGCTGACAGTTTGTGAAAAGACCTTCTGGTATCTTGGATGACGTGTTGATTCAGGTAGGGAAATTTGTGTTCCTTGTAGATTTTGTGATTTTGGATTGCAAGGTGGATGAAGAAATTCCCATAATTTTGGGAAGGCTATTCTTGGCCACAGAGAGAGCTCTCATTGATTGTGAAATTGGGGAGCTCAAGGTGAGGTTGAAAGATGAGGAGATAACATTCAATATGCAGAAATCTATGAGGCAACCAAGTGAATTTGCCAATTGCTCTCTTATTGATGTCGTGGATGTTATCGTAAAAGCAGATGATGAGACGTTGACTATTAAGGACCCTCTTGCTGCTTGTCTTGTAAATTTAGATGAGGTGAATGGGGAAGAATTGGCAGAATGGGTACTAGCTTTAGAGGGCACAGGGTTTTGGGATAGAACACTTGAATTCGAGCCCCTACATTTAGAAAACAGAGAAACTCCTCCAGCCAAACCATCCATAAAAGAACCACCAAAGCTGGAGTTGAAGCCACTGCCCGCCTATATCAGGTATGAGTTCCTAGGACCTAGCTCCATATTACCTATTATTAACTCATCTAGTTTGTTAGATGTGCAGGTACAACAACTTTTGCAGGTACTCAAGGAGTGCAAGACTGTCATTGGGTGGACCATGGCAGACATTAAGGGGACCAGCCCGGCATATTATATGCATAAAATTCTGCTGGAAGAGGGGCACAAACCTTTCAGGGAGCACCAAAGAAGGATGAACCCCAACATGAAGGAAGTGGTCAAGAAAGAGGTGATTAAGTGGTTTGATGCGGGAATCATTTTCCCCATCTCTGACAGCAACTGGGTTAGCCCGGTGCAATATGTTCCTAAGAAGGGTGGTATGACGGTGGTGAAAAATGATAACAATGAGCTGATCTCTACAAGAACCACCACAGGCTGGAGAATTTGTATGGACTACAGGAAATTAAATCTGGCCACCCGGAAAGACCACTTCCCACTTCCCTTCATTGATCAGATGTTTGACAGATTGGTAGGGAGGTCCCACTTCTATTTTCTGGATAGGTATTCAGGGTACAATCAAATCTCCATTGCACCAGAGGAAAGAGAGAAGACCTCCTTCATATGCCCATATAGAATTTATGCTTTTCAGAGGATGCCCTTTGGCCTATACAATGCACCCGCCACATTCCTAAGGTGCATGATGGCCATATTCACTTACATGGTCGAAGACATAATGGAGGTTTTCATGGATGATTTCTCAGTGGTGAGAAACTCATTCGACGAGTGCCTTATAAATCTGACCTGAGTGTTGAAAAGATGTATTGAGACTAACCTGGTACTTAATTAGGAAAAGTGTCATTTCATGGTACAAGAGGGAATAGTCTTGGGACACCGGGTATCAAGCAAGGGAATCGAGGTGGATCGTGCTAAAGTTGACGTGATAGCAAAGCTTCCACCCCCCACTTCAGTCAAGGCAATCAGGAGCTTCCTCGGGCATGCCGGTTTCTACCGGAGATTCGTAAAAGACTTCTCAAAAATTGCCAACCCTCTCTGTAAGTTGTTAGAAAAAGATCACCCTTTCTTGTTTTCTGATGATTACAGTGTAGCATCGAGGAGTTGAAAAAGAAGCTAGTCATAGCACCTATCACCATTGCCCCCGACAGGGAGCAACCATTCGAACTCATGTATGATGCCAGTGACTATACAGTGGGGGTGATGCTGGGATAGTGAAAAGACAAGCCAATGCACCCAATTTACTATGCTAGTAGAATGTTTAGTGGAGCCCAGCTGAACTACACTGCGACTGAAAAGGAGATGCTGCCTGTGGTGTTTGCATTCGACAAGTTCAGATCATACCTGATTGGCTCTAAGGTAATTGTATATACTGATCATGCAGCTCTCAGGTACTTGATTGAGAAGTAGGAGTCCAAACCACGCCTAATTCGTTGGGTGCTGTTACTGCAAGAGTTCGACCTGGAGATTTGTGACCGTAAGGGCACAAAAAATCAAGTCGTTGATCATCTATCACGACTTGAAGGAGCTGAAAAATCAGTTGAGGTAGAGGATATTTTGGAAACCTTTCCATATGAGCAACTACTCGCTACAGGCCTTGAGGAAGTGCCATGGTATGCAGACTTTGCAAATTACCTGGCAAGCGGTATAGTTCCCTATGACCTTTCCTCTGTGCAAAAGAAAAAGTTTTATCGTGACTGCTGCATGTATTACTGGGATGAACCTTATCTGTTTCGAATATGTGTTGACAATATGATCCAGAGGTGTGTCCCCGAGATAGAACAATCTTCTGTTTTGCAGGCATGTCATGCATCGGCGTATGGCGGGCATTTTGGAGAAGTCAGGACGGCATCAAAAGTACTAGAAGTCGGGTTCTACTGGCCAACAGTGTTTAAGGATGCACATCAATGGGTGAAGGGCTATAATGAATGTCCTCGAACCAGGAACATTTCCCGTCACCATGAGATGCCCATAAACCCAATTCAAGAGGTTGAAGTGTTCAATGTTTGGGGGATAAACTTCATGGGCCCCTTCGTCAGCTCCTTTGGCAATAAGTACATACTTGTTGCTGTAGATTACGCGTCCAAATAGGTGGAAGCTGCAACACTTCCCACCAATGATGCAAGAGTGGTGGTGGGGTTTTTGAAGAAGAATATATTCACCCATTTTGGGACCCCGAGATTTATTATCAGTGACGGGGGCTCTCACTTCTGCAATCGAGCCTTCGAGAAGTTGCTATAAAAGTACGATATGTGCCACAAGGTGGCAACACCATATCATCCTCAGACCAGTGGACAGGTCGAAGTGTCTAATAGAGAGATAAAGAGTGTGCTAACCAAGACTGTGAATTCCACAAGAACTGATTGGGCAAAGAAGATAGATGATGCACTCTGGGCCTATAGAACTACTTTCAAAACACCAATTGGTATGTCACTATACAAGTTGGTGTTCAGGAAGGCCTGTCACTTGCCAGTAGAACTTGAACATAGAGCTTAGTGGGCAATGAAACAGCTGAATCTGGACACTGAGGCTGCGGGAACAATTAGAGTCGTAGAATTGCATGAGCTCGATGAGTTCCGATATCTTGCTTTCGAGAGCACGAGGTTGTATAAGGAGAGAATGATGCGGTTGCATGACAAGAACATTGTTGGGAGAAATTTAAATCCTGGAGACATGGTGTTGCTTTATAACTCAAGATTAAGCCTATTTCCGGGTAAACTCAAGTCACGATGGTCTGGACCATTTCGAGTGGTCAAAGTATTCCCTTTAGGTGCCGTAGAAATTGCCTCAGAGAAAGACTCTCATACATTTAGAGTCAATGGGCAGAGATTGAAACCATATGTGGGCATGGATGAACCAAAGGAAGTGTTAGTGATCTATCTGACTGAACCTCAGAGGTCGAGCGAGCCTTAAATGCGCTTATCTGCGTCGTGCCGCGATGTTAAATTAAACACTGTATGGGAGGCAACCCATTGATTTGTTGTAACTGTCATGCCACGACATTAACTAAGGCGCTGGTTGGGAGGCAACAATGATAGTAAGTAGTTGTTAGTTTTGATTTTGGTAAGTACTAACCAATGCAGGTAAGCTTGGGCAGGTGATAAGTCCATCGGACGTGGAAAGAACGGGTGAAAAAGTGGAAAATATTTCAGCCCAGGAGCGCGCCCGCTCTACAGGCCGCGCATATGGGCAAACATTCTGCCTCAGCATCTCAACCACTAGCGCGACCGCGCTATGACGGCGCTAGTGACCGCTTTAGAAGCGTGACCGCGCTATTGGCCATGCTAGTGGCTGCGCATATGGCCAAGTACATTGTTTTCACTAGCGCGACCGCGCTAGTCCCGCCTATTTAACTTAGCATTTGCTTTAATTTTTTTATTTTTTTATTTCTTATTCTTTATTTGGTATATTAATTGTATTAAGTGTTTAGTAACCCCCCCCCCCTCCAACCAACTATTCCCCTCTTTTTCATCCCCAAAAATCCCTAACGCCCAAATTCCCAACCCTAACTCCCATCTTCTTGAAAATTTCCTTCTTCTTCATTCCCAAATTCCCCAAGGCTCAAGCCCAACTCTCCACTACTTTTCTTCACTTCTCCCCACATTCTCTCACTACAGGTATGGTTTCTTTTTGCCATTTTTCCTTTTTTTGCGCAGATTTTCGTTTTAATTTTTTTTAATTATGTAGTAGCTTTTTCTTTTCTTTTCTTAGTAGAAATTTGTAGTGTTTGTGTAGTGTTTGTGGGTGGTGATGTTGGTGGAATTGTCTCTTAACTTAATGGGTAAATTTGGGGAAATTGTGGTGGTCATGGGGTTACAACGTGTTTAAATTGGAGATTGGGTATATAAAGTCCACAAGGTGTTTGTTTAAATGCCACAATGAGTGTAAATGGGTAATTGTGACCAATTGTGCGAGTGAAGTCTGAGTAACCGCAATTTAGTCACACCTTTTGTGCTGTGCTAATGCTATTCCTCTTCCAGGTACTATGGCTCCATCCAGGAAACGCTGCACCATAGGTGCTTCTTCAAGCAGTCAAGCTGGATCGTCCAGGGCGCGCGGGTCAGCTCCTGCTCGTCCCTTTGATAGTAGCAGGTTCGTCTCTGCCAAGGCTTAGGACCGCTTTGCGGATAAGGCCCCTAAGAAATCGATACCGGAAAGGGGCATGGATATAGGGTCGGTCCAGTTGGGCTGCCCTAACTTGTATAATGAGCTGGTAAGGTAAGGACTCCAAATTTGAAGGGCCGGACGAGGGAAATGTGATGGTCGTCCGTGAATTTTACGCCAATGTAAAGGAACATGTGAATGGCACAGTAACAGTGCGTAGAAAGGCGGTGGATGCCTTTGTTGAGGCTATACGGAGGATATACCAGTTTCCCGCTCATGTGGATCCATATGAAGACTATTATAAGATGTATGTCAGATCACACACGTAGTGGGAGAGGTTCTTTGCAACAATTTGTGTACCTGAAAAGGAAATTGTCTGGATGAAGTATGGTCAGAAGTTTTACTCCGTGGAGCTAACCTTTGAAGGGAAGTGCTGGCTGTATGTTATCAACAACCGCCTGATCCTGTCTTCCAATACCACGGAGGTGAATGGTCCTTGAGCGGCTCTGATTTAGTGCTTTATGAATGGTCACAACTTTGACGTGACCAAGGTGATTCATGAGGAGATGTTCACCCGTTGTCCGGTGAAAAGGTATGGGTTCTTATTCCCTTCCCTAGTCACTCGACTTTGCCAGGCAGCTCAGGTGCCGAAAAATTTTCCTGTGGATGGGATAGTGCCAAAGACCACAAGTTTCGAGCAGATAAGGTCACTATTGGGAAGGAGCCGATGGCAGCGGGTGGTGATGATAATGGTAAATCTGATGACTCTGAGGAAGAGGAGGCTGAGCAGGAGGATGTCAGGGTTGAGTCACCGGACCATGAGCAAATTGCAGAGGGTGCAGCACCATCTAGGGCTGCAGCACCATCTGGGGCTGCTCGGGTTACTCAGTTCACAGCTTTGGAGCAGGAGGTGTCCGGATTGCATACCTTGGTCACTGACTTAGGTACCCGTGTTGACACGGTGGCTGCCCAGAAGGTGAAATCGGAGAAGAAAGTATTGGGCTGTCTAGAGCTCTGGGTCATGCTTGCAATCTGAACCCAGACACGGTCTCCGATCAAGAGTGATCATTCAGGGAAGTTCCTTTACCTCACTATCCTTTATTTTGTATGCCATGAGGACATGTCTTCCTTTTAAGTGTGGGGTGGGGGATATTTCAATGTATGTGTGTATATGTAACAACTTGACTATTTGATGTTTTCTTTGTTTTTCTTGATTGTTTTTGGTGGTTTTGAATAATAGTCAATTAGGTAAGTTAACGTGTCCCGACGATGGATCTCTTTCGACGGGGTTCTTGAGGGTCTAAGGCGACGTAAAAAAAAATTGGAAAAAAAACAGAAATATGTTGGACTCTTCCTGATGACGAATCTTCTAGACAGTTTTCTTGAGGGAAGTAAGTCTAAAAAATACCAAAAAGATTTTTTTTTGTTTTAGGTAGTGTAGTAACTCCCCCTTGGTTCTTCTTTGGGCCACGGTTCTTTTCCAAGGGTTTTTCTTGAACCGGGTGTAGTTAGTTTTTGTTTATTTTGTTTTTAGTTTTTAGTTAGTATTGATGGGCTATGATCTGAAATAGAATGAGAACCCTTGGCGTTAATACACCTTAACACAGTAGACACTAGAGTGTGACACTTAGTCTCAGTGGTTGATTCTTGTTGGACTACCTTAATTTTATGTTTGTAACTGACTTGACTACTCAAACAAGAGTGTTTTTATAAGCCAATCTGGAGTGAGTCATGTGTCATGTGTGTGTGAGTTGTACTACATTCTATACTTTGCATGTGATTCCTAGAACTTGTCCTGTGTGTTTGCAAAGCGAAATAGTAGCTTTATTCAGTCTTAGAAGTGATATAGGCATTTCTTTGTAAGCCAAATATATAAAGTAGACCCACCTAAATGCGATACATCGTAGTTAACCCCGTTGAGCCTATAAGCATGTTTCTTTGGCAATCACATTACAAACCTTACCCAATTATTTGAACCCTTTTACCTCTCATGAGCACTTGAATGGTTATGAAATATGCAAAAGCTAAAGTGTGGGGTGGTGGTTTATTTTTTTGAGTGGAACCGATGAAATAGAGAAAAAGGTGCAGTATTTTGAAAAAAGTAAAAGAATAAGCACCACTTAAAAAAGAAAAAAAAAGAAAATGAGTAAATGTAATATTTGATAAGTGGTGACTTGATACAATTGCACCTAATGGAGTTGGGGTGTTATAAATAGAAGTGCGGTGGAATGTCTGGTTTGACATCAGTATGGTTTTGAATGTTAATGTGATTGTATTAAAAGTTCTTAGGGAGGTTAGTCACTATATCCAAATATATCCTACCCGTATCTTGGCCTTCATTACAACCAAATGAAGTCCTAATTGATCTTAGACTGAATGGGCTCGATTAGTAAAGTAGTACACTACGGGCAAGCCTATGGTGCATCTGTGTGGCATGTGAATGTTCGTTTTGAGAGTGAACAAATTTTGTCTATCTAAGTTCCTAATTGTTCTTAATATTATTATTTGTGGAACTACTCTCTTGTGTGATGTGAGGGCATATGATTCACGAAGGAAAGGTAAGTCTTGACCTCTGTATAGAGTAATTTGAGTAAGTGTGAATATTGCACGGCACGTGAGAGTCGACTTTTGAGGCAAAGATTGTCCACTACTAGACGTATCTTTGGTGATTTGTTCTTGGCGTGATACGTTAGGGGAAAAGCTTAGTGAAGGAACCTTTATAGAGTGTGATGGATTGCTCGAGGAATAGCAATGATTTAAGTGTGGGTGTTGATAATAAGCTAAATTCATGTAATTTGGCGACTGTTTATGCCCCAACTTGACTATGCTTCACTGTTCTATGATAGTTAAATGACAATAAATTGGCTCTAATTGTGAGTTTCATGTTTTGTATGAGCGAGTGGCGCTTATGAGAACATAGCACAGTGTTTAGAGCTAAATTAAAGCAAGGGAAGCCCCTCGGAGCTAAGTACGTGTGAAAGAAGAGAGAAAAGAAGAACTAAAATGATGGCCCAGCTTAGCGCGCCCTTAGCGTGACCGCGCTAGTCCAGAAACTCAAGACAGAATACTATGCTATATGCGCGACCATTAGCACGGGCACGAGTGCGGCCGCGCTAGTCCAGTTCGGAACATATAATTCAGGGGTAAATTTGGAAGTTCGAGGGTAATTCCACTTAACCTATAAGAGGTCCAGCTCGCCCAAAGGGACATTATCAAGGTTTTTACAGCTTAGTTGAAGGCAAGGAGAGGTAAGAGGTAAGGAGGATAATTCGACATCGAGTTCTTCCTTTCTTCCTTTTGTTTTTACCATTTATGATGAATTTTGTTGTTGTTAGTATGAATACAATTATGAGTAGCTATATATTTAGTCTAGGGTTTTGATGGAACCTGTTGAAGGATGAACTTCGTGTTATGTTAATATAGTTTACCCGGTTTAATCTCTATTTGTTCAACTACGTTCTCATTGTAGTTAATTGATAGGATCCTCAATTAGCTGTGCCTATTTAGTATGTATTACTCGGGAGAGAGTGCATATTAAGTAATTTTTTAACAACACCACTCCCAAAGTATATGAGGAATCAATAACCGAGGGTTTAAAGGTGGGATTAGGGATAAAAAAACTTGGGTGCGATCTAAAGTGAGCCGTAATAAAAGTAAGCTAGCGTAACTCGGGAGAGTGCGTCTAGTAAATTATCGTAATTACTCGGGAGAGATTTATGGTAGTAAGAGTGCTTATGATCGATAGAGACGATTAGGCAATTCTATGCGAAACATAACAGGAAGGGATTCCATCAATAGGGGAAATCACAACCTTAGATCCTTCTCTTATTTGTTTACAACTCAATCATAGTTAGCTTTTAGTTTACTTAACGTTATTCAGTTATAGTTAGTAAAAACATCTCCAATTATTATTCAAAATATCTGAGAAGTTGATTACGAAGAATTTAGTGAGTCTAACAAGAGTAATTGGTAGGTTAATTCCCTGTGGATTCCATTCTAGCCTAAATACTTGGATTATATTTTGCAGCGACCGCTTTATCCTTTTTATAAGGCATAGTTGGGCGTGATCAGTCTAGCACTTGATTCTTGCTATAATTCTTTCCACCAGTGGCATACATTGAATTGTTGATAACTTTTTTGTTGACAGTGACACTCCCAAATACTTGAATAGGAACTTCCCTAGAGAAAAGTGCATTTCAGAGAGTATTGAAGTCTTGAATTCCTCATTTACTCTAGCCACATAGAATGAGCTTTTTTCCATATTCGCTTTTAACCCAGGTGACAACAGAGAAGTGATGAAATGCCTTGAGAATTAGTTGTATTGATATTCTGTCAGCTCTGCAACACATGATCAAATCATATGCAAAACACATGTGTGTTAGTTTAAGCTTGGCACACCTTGGATGATAATTGAAATCTGGAACTTGTTCAAGTGTCTTCAAACTTCGATTGAGGTATTCCATGACCAACACAAACAAGTAGGGGGACATAGGATCCCCCTGTCTCAGTCCCTTTTTTGCTTGAAATTTAGTTGTCAAACCCCCATTGAGTAAAAATGAGTAGCTGAGTGTCATAACACATTCTATTATCATATCTACTATCTTTACAGGAATGCCATATTCTAACTGAACCATCTTTAGAAATGGCCACTCCACTGAGTCATATGCCTTTCTTATATCCACCTTGATTAAACATCTAGGAGATACACCTTTTTGTGTGTAACCTTTGACCAATTCATGTGCCAAGATTACATTGTCCAATATATTCCTCCCTTCAATAAATGCAGATTGTGCAAGCCCAACTACATAATCCACCACTGATTTCAGTTTCTCTATTAGGATCTTAGCTATCACCTTGTATAAAGTAGTGCAACATGCAATGAGTCTATATTCTTTAACATAAGTAGGACTTGCTACTTTAGGTACCAATGTCACAATTGTGCAGTTCACACTCCTTAACAGCTTTCCATTTGCAAAGAATTCAAGGACTGCCTTTGTAATCTCTATACCA